GTCTTCATCGTACCTGGACTTGGACAAGAGCTGGGGCGGCGGACGATTTGGTGGTGGTGGATGATCAGGAGTGCGCGGACTCACAGGCTTCGGCGGAGGTGGTGGAGTCTTCGGCATCGTAGGAGCTGTCTTCACTGTTGATCTGGTCGGACGAATCGGACTCCTAGACCTAGTTGGCCTCTGGTTGGGTTCTGATGTACCAGCCGACTTTCTCCTCCTCAAAGGGCTACGGGACCGCGGATTGCGATTTGCAAGCGTCGTCACGGCATCTGTCAACCTCTTGAGGGCTTGCAGAATCTCTTGGCTTCCGCTCGAAGTTTCTTCCGCTGGAATCTCTGGCTCTTCAACCTCAACCTCTTCTATCTCTTCTCCAACCTCTTGTTCGTCCAACTTGGTGTCGTCTTCATGGCTGTCAGCATCATCAAAATCCGGAACCGGCCTCACAGGCGAGGTCACGGCAGCGCTCGGCATTGGTTTGCTCTTTCGAGATGCCACGGCGTCACTCGCCTTCGGCGGTCGTGAAGATGAAGATGGCCTCGAAAGTACTGAAGGGCAGGCTTTTGGTGGAAGTGAGCGGGCTTTTGCACTGGTGCTGCGAATAGCCTCTTCTCGTGTCGGTGGTGGTGCTGTTGAACGCTCACCGGATCGCCACGGCACGTGGTCGTCCGCATCACCTCGAACAGCTCTTGGAGTGTGAACATTCATTGTATGTGCTGGAGTCAATGTCACAGTTGTATCGCCGAAAAGCGGCCCACAAAGAGTGCAACGTCCTCCACACGACATCTCACGCCATTCAGGCGAGTGAGAATGAATCACAACACACGTGAAGCCCTTCGAAGCAAGATGCCTGTGGATCAACATGCTTCCGCCCACAGAACGATGACGCCCTGACTTGCAGCGCACGTCCAAAACTCCCTTGTCATGGCGCTCCACAAAGTCGTCCACCTCACGAAAGATGCGGTCAAGACCTCTCTGATCCCTCCTAAGACCATTCAAAATGGCCGGATGCCTTCCCACGTGTCCACGCAACGAAGGATCTTGGTCGGGATCCCACAGCGACTTGGCGTTGATGTACTTCACGGGGATACCACTGCCAACATGCTGTGCTAACCTGTCTTCAAACCGGTCACCTCCTGTGACCAGCAAAAACTCACGGCTCTTCAAATTGCCAATGATGTTGCCAAGCGCACGATGGATACCTTCGGCAGTCTGGGCTTGGTACCCTCGCTCTGCCGTATCCAATCTCTCCATCGGAGTATCGAAGGCTGTGAGGGCGACACGAAATTTGCGATGACACTTTGGAATCTTTTGGGGCATGGTGGCTTCGAGACTTTGGACCAATTGTTGAGGGGTAATTGCCAACATCATCAAACCGGTGTGTATGCATCTGAACACTTTGAGGCGTTTTCCATTGATGCTAATGATACCATTCTTGAGGTCCTTTACTAGTCCCAAGTGTGCCTGAGCATGAAGAGACAAAAGCAGCGGAGATCGACCTTTCGACAGCTGGTGGGATTCAAGAACACCATGCACTGGATCTCCCTCGTCGAAGTGCAACGAAAAGGGTAATGTGCGGGATCCTTCTGTAGTGGTCCCTTTTTCACCTAATCCGGCAAAGTTCTTCGACGTTGTGGTTGAGAAAGGGAAATCATACCCCAGCTTCTTCAGCTTGGCTTCCACGACGTCTCCCCAGTGCTTTGAATGGCAGGTGGAATTACATCCCTCGTCGAGAACGACGTAGATGTTCCCGTCGTCTGGGCTGTACATGTCCCTGGCTTCGTGAAATATGTGCACCAAACCATCTGTCATCTGGGTAGGTTCCTCTATAATCAATCATGGTGAACGAGTCTCCTTTGCTCTCTTCGATGGACAGGTGGAGGAGCTCGTGCAGCTTGATCGAAGTCACGGCCTCGGTTTCGGCTGCCAACGCGACTTGGGCGGCAAATTCAGTCAAAATCTTCTCTAGCATCTCGGGGGTGTGTCCTTCTTCGGGTTCCTCTTCAACCAAACGTTCAATCATTGGGATCCTATCGAGCGGTGCGTTGACGACTTTCTCAGAGGCTGCCTTCCTAGTCTTTTGGAGCTCCATCGGAGTCTCATCCAAAAACGAACAACAAAGCTTGCAAAACACACGGTGAACAGACCTGGAAGAACCTCGAAAATCGGTGTCCGAGTGCGGGCAATCGTCATATGCAAACTTCGGGGCTTGCTCTCTACGCTCGGTGGTGGAGTTCCCACAGACAAGGCATGTCTTCTTGATGGTGTATGCTGTGCTCCCTTGTTTGGTGAACTCGGAACAATTCTTGCATTTCTCTTTCGGTGGATATGGTGGTTTCTTCCTTGAGGACCCTTTTGGGATTGGCTGCAATGACGATGAAGAAGAAGCACCACCAACCTTCCTGAAAACTGAAGCTCCCCTGTATTCAAAATGCTGATCAACCCACGTGACGAAAGCCGAAGCGATTGGACTCTTGCCATTCTTGATGGCCCATTGATGGTAGTCAGGATGTTCATGAAGGATCTGCCAAAATGTCTTCCCCCTGAACTGTCCAGCTAAGAACTTCCTATCGCTCCCTTCAGGCCTTACGAGGTCGTTGGGACTCACTGGTGCCTCCGGACGAACTCCTGAGCTGGCCTTCACGGCCATGTGAGCAACGCTGTCGGTTGGAGACGCCGCACCTAGAAAAATCCCTTCGTCCTCGGATGAATCACTCATGTGGGCAATGTGTGCAGCAGGTTTCGGGGCTGATCCAGTCTTCGGGGCATTGGGCATCTTACATTGGGGGTCTCCGGCCCAGTGACCTAAACCACCACAACGAAGACACTTGGATTTCGCCTTGATCTCGGACAGTTTCTGTCGACGTTGCTCGATGCTAAGGTGAGACTTCACTATCTTACCTTTGCCTTTACCTTTCCCCTTGAATTTATCCTTGCCTTTGCCTTTTGCCTTCCCGAAAGCGACGAATGCGGCAAGCTGCAATTGGATAGCATCACCTGAGGAACGTTCTTCGGCATCTTCGCAATCAACTACTGCATTCAAGGCAATTGCTTCATATTCATCAACATCATCATGATACTCAAAATCTTCGTATTCAGGATGGCTAGCATATTCATGTTCTTCAGACTCTTCAACCCCTCCTAGCATGCCTACGAAAGAATCTTCTTCATGATGATGCTCCTGCAAGTCCTCATCTCTCCAATCGAAATTGTCTTCCCAATCGGGATAGACGGCATTGTAACCAGCACGAGGGTATTGGCTACCTTTGCCTTTACCTTGGTACCCCTTCTGGTACCCTTTGCCTTTGCCTACCTGAGGCTGAATTCCCCGTCCTGTCCAGGATCGGGACCCTTCACGAAGATGGATTCCACTGTAGTTGTCAACCAAGACTCGTGCAGTACCTTCGAAGTCATCGTTCTTGCGGCAAGCCTTCACCACGAGGATCTCCTGCCTGGAAATACCTGACATCTCCAGCAATAGCTCTGTGCGGAAAGCTTCTGAGATCATCATTGTGGGGTCAAGCTCAACCAACAAGGTCCACCAACGTCGTCGACGTTGAGTGTACGACAACATGCTCTCTGTAGGCTGTCTCGACAGTGGTCCTCCATGCTTCTGTCCTGCGCGAAAAAGCTCCTTACTCTCCTCCAAGGCTCGAGGAAACACATGGTTACGTATCACCTCGATGAGACGCTCCAGTCCCCCTGGACGTGCAAGTGTCTCTAGACCTAAGTCTCTGGCAAGCAAAAATGCATCACCTCTCAAACCTTCTACGATCTTGTTCACTAGGACACTGCGATCGATGATGCTCGACTTGTCTGACTTAACGGACGAAGCCTTCGGTGATGTTGCATCAACCTTCGACTTGGGAGTACCGGCAGTCTCACGCGGCTCGGGCTCAAACTCCTCGGGATAGTGTCCAGGCGAAGGGAATGCGAATCCTTCGTCTGACTCTGGTGGCCAAGGCTCCCCTTCGTCGGCAGGTCCAGTCACGGGATCCTGCTTCTTTGCTGGTTGCGTTTGGGCTTGGTCGTACAGCTTGATGCGGAGTTCGGTTCGGAATTTCCAATCATGAAATGATGCAGGATCTCCCCAATAGATGTAAGACCCACTCTTAGTTTCCAGGGGGTTGCCTATTCTGTCACCAGTGCTACCCGAATGGAACTTGAGTCCAGCAATGGACATGTTCGACGATTCCGACGGAGATTGCTCGGGCGAGCAATCTATTCCGGGCTCTGTCCCCAACGGGATCAGAGGAGGCAAGCGAAAGCACGCAAGGAATGCAAGCTCAGGCTTGATGTTCTACGATTCCAATGACCTGGATCAGTACGTGCCGGAGTCAGGCCGTCACCTGCTCCGCTACCAATGTCGGTAGCAACCGGAATCGTACTGTCCACACGCTCTTTTCACTGCGAAAGCGAGCACGGTATAGCTCAAGGGCCCTAGGAGCCAAACGGCGGCAGACACAACATAGTGTGACAACCTGGCTCAACAGAATGAGATCCTACCTCAAATTCACAATATATATAGATCAAAAATGATCAAATCAACCTCAGAACATCGCAATCCTCAAACTGTACAAACCCTATCCACTTCAAATTGTCTTCAACATGTGGTCCTCGCAAACAGAACAGCTCTCCAACAGATCCGCGTCTCTTCAACCAACTGTGGAGCGCCTCCGCCATTCCAACGCTGGCCTCCCCAACCTCCGCTGAGACCGACGGCGGTTCCGTGAGAAGCGAAACCCAAGGGTGTCCTGGGAACCATGGATTGGCTTCCCATGGAAGCGAGGCTTCCATGGGACTTCCTTAGGTTCAAAGGTCAACAAACTGATTCTATGCAAACACCAGCTGGCTATGCCCAATTATCCAAAACATCTAAGACATATTATCATATATGATCATAACTATAACGGTGGACAGACTTGAAGCTTGACTTTTTATCAATAAATATCAAAAGATTCAGAAGTCTTGGAAAACAGTTCTGGAAGGCAGTCCTTTTGAGACCGCTACTTGCACAGCTCGGGGCTCACGTACAGTGAGCAATTCCTCGTTCCTCGCCTCAATGCCACTACCCTTGCTAGCATTTCTGGAGGCTCGGCGATCTACCGGGCGGTGGACTTGCAACACACCGCGCTGGCAGCTGCCGCCCTCCTCCTGCTCGTCGCGTCGCAAGCTGCGATGCTGAAGTCCGCTGAAGGTCCTCGTTGTCATCATCTTCCTGGCAGCTTGCTGCTGCAAGTGGCATATTCATGGCAGGAAGGTGGTGCCAAAGCCTCCGCATCACCGTGGTTCCACAAGGGCGGGCCCATGTAGGCGCGGAGCGCCTTTCCCATGAGCTTCGGGTTCCTTTGCCTTTGGTTTGCAAGGCCAAAAGTCGCGCAAACAGCGCGGCAGACCTCAACTCTGCAGGAACGCTGTTTAACACTGCCCCTTGCAAAGGAGTGCAACTGCTGCAAAATTGGAAGAAAGATCATCGCCAGGATTTCCTCTCCGAGATGGCTACAAACCAATTGCATGGCATCTGAATCATGCTCAAGTCAAGGCTGTCAAGATATGTCAGATACTTCAATGCTATCCTAAAGGTGTCATCCTTTTTCGGCCGATTGAACACGTCTCCCACTGCAAGCACAACACCTGCAAACATAGCCCCAAGTCCTTGCTCAGAGTTCTTCAGCTGCGTCTTTGCCCTCACCCTTTCCGTGGCTCAACGCCAAGCTGCTTGGTGGTACCACCATGGACGCCCAAAACCACGTCGGGTTGCTCTTCGGAACATGCTCCTCCACCCGTCAATTCTCAGGATCCATGATGATCCATGGAGCAAGCCATGGAGAACAAACCACCTGCTTGGTGGAATAAAATGCCCACCGAAAAGAAAGAACACCATCTGGATCCGTCTAGTCCCCCCTAAAAGCCCACCACTGCAGTGACTCGGACCCCCCAACTGGACCATTTCTGGAAGGTTTTGGGTCATGGTGAACAGGCAATGAAATGAACAACGCCAACACGGAAAAACCACACACAATTTGGTAAACACATGTACTGTATATAAACACAAATCGTAAGGTGTTCTTTTTGGTTTCAGTGTCGATGTTAGCTTCCTGTTTTGCTATGTGCCAAGTGCCTGAGAATCCTTCGAAGGAACAAGTCCTCATCTTCCACTCCGGCCGTTGCATGTTGATCAGTTCGGCATTTTGGAAGGACCCTGAGTCCCTTCGCAATCCTCTCCACATCTCACCACTCTCAACTCCAGCCTTTGCTGTTCCCCGTCCGTGGCCACCTTCCTCAGCTCACGCGGTGTACTTCGGTCACGCTAAGCGAAACCAAGAATGGATGTCGGGACCTGTCTGGTGGGCTATTCTTGAACCTCGGTTTCGGTTGGGGATACTGGTGGTCACAGGTTGAGTCCTTGCGGGGGGGTGGCCAAAGTGAGTCATCATGCGCACTCAGAGTGAGAACTTCAAAGCGTATTTTCTGGAATATGGTCTTCGGAGGGGTCTTCAAAGCCTGAGAGGGCAAATAGCATTGGTTTACACATGTTTATATAGTCACTGTTTCATGGTAATGGTCATGGTTCAGTGATAATCATTATTCTCCCTCATGTCCAAGGCAACAAATGCCTTGAGCACTGGACTCGAGCAAGCTTGGTCAAGTTCCCCTGCCATACGGATCCGGTATAACCATAAGTCTGATGTGTCTGTCTCTGTATGAGATCCCACAAAAGTGTAGCAGCTTTGCAAAATAGCTGGTACCAAAGAACTGCAGCACACCACGAGCGACTGAGTGACTGTTCCCATGTCAGGTATTACGAAGTCTGTGGTGACCCGATTTCACCATGGCCTAAGCAGCTCCAGAAGATTTCTACCGTTTGGCACAGTCCATTTGAAATGAAACAGGAACAAGGACGCTACTAGTAACAAAGGGCCTTGCTACTAACGGAGCTCAAACGCTACGAACGGGGCTCCTGGCCTTACTGCTAGGAGATTCTTGCTACTAGTAACAAAGGGCATCAAAGGAACTGAGGCGCATTGCGCCTCTTTCCACAGCCGACCCCAACCTGGAGACCCTCAATCACATTGGGCCCTGGGGGACATGGTGCGGATTCGGGTCGTCAACACCTGTTTATCCACATAGTACTGGAAACAAACACAACAGTGCTAAGCGCATGATGTGTGATGGTGTTCTGAATTGCTGGCGATTTATCGTTTCTGGTGGTCTGTTGTGAAGTCCTCTTACTCAACTCAGTTTCTTGTCTGTGGATCTTGAGGCCTTCGGCTCCTTATATATATATATCAATACACATCATATCACTACAAACTCATGCTTTTACTTGTCGTAATCGCAAGCAGTATCCAAAACAAAAGGGACCCGTTCATTGCTCTTTTTGCCCCGTGACTCAAGTATTAAGCAACTGAACGCAACAAAACACACAAGTTACGCAAGTTACGGGACCATGATGTCAGGTCCCAGTCGCTCCCTCCATAGCCGTAGCCTCCGTGCTCCTCGTCGCCCTTGTCGTAGCCCCCGCCGTCGCCGGCCGGGGGAGCCCAGTCCATGGCGGGTCCGACCGGCAAGCCTCGGTCCAGAGCGAAAAGGCGGAGCCGAGGGCGGAGGGTGAAGGTGGGTCTGAGTCTTTCCCAAAGGTCGGAGGTGGGATGAGGTGGGATGTGAGGTGGGTGAGGTTAAAAAGGTGTGGTGAGGTGGGTGGTAGGTGAGGTCGTTGAAGGAACCCCAATCTCAACGAAGTCAAAAGGTTCAATGTGACTTCTGGGCAGTCGAAAGAACTTGAAGACGAGGCAACCAAAAGTAATGCAGGTGCTGTTCTCAAATCGCATGACATTGTCTCATTTTAAAGAAGAGAGGGAGACTGACCGTGACAAATGAGGACTTGCTCAGGAGTATAGAGCGTCCACATACAATCCTGGGGATGGGTCAAAACCTGTAGCCCCAACAGCATATGGCTTGACCTTCCGTTGGTAGGTCAACTAAAGTATCCTGGTTTTGACTCACAGCCACTTATGATAGCCTATGCCATCCTTTTCCTGCTACAGTACGCCCTTGAACACCGTCAAGCGCTGAGGCTCCAGGCTCATGCCCTGCATGTCAAGACGACCCAGTCGGAAACACGTGGGCTAATATGGTGAACAAACATTTTTGGTATACCTGGTCTTTCAATGCTGCGCGTCCATGTCTGCCGTTCAGATATTTGATATTATGAAAGTTAGCACGGGCGCGAATTGGAGAGCTACAAGAGACTGTTCTGGTGTCGTTCCGCCTCCCATTCTTCGCTTCGCTTCGCTTCGCTTCGCGTGGTCTACCAACATCAACTTGCGAAAATCGCACCGTGCCTGCATCATCCAAGCTGCCGCCATGTGCATCGCATGCTTCGGTTGCCTCAAGCTTCAGTGGACCCTGTCTTCGGTGTGGGAAGAGGCCTCTGACACTGCCTCAGGTCTCCTGGACCCCCACCCCAATCCATGGATCCTTCGTGCATCGAATTGGAACTGGTGGATCTGGTGAATCGCTGCAACACTTTGGCCTTTGGGCTGAGAAAGGCTCCCTTGCGGTGCCGAAAGCAAATAGCCGGAAGCCTTGCCGAAAGCCACACCTGATAAGGAACTGAGATGATCTTATGGTGCTTTCCACGAGACAAAGCACCAAGGGAAGTGAAACGATTGAACATGAAACCTCCTTGCTTGGACGAGATAGGCCTCAAACAACAAATGTTGTCTAGTAAACTGGACATGTTGAAGGAGATATTGGAGCGAGAAAACATCCAATTCACCCCAAGAAACACAGCCCTGCAGGAGGGGGCTATTGGGAGATCTCTTTTTCGGATACACTCTTGTAGAAGTGGACTCCATATTTGAGCTTCACACTCCGCGCTGTCTCTGGGTACCGGGCCAGTGGTTTTCATTCCAGCCTGGTGAGGGCTAGCGGCCAGTAGATTTGGCGAACATGTCGCAGGCCATGTTGAGTAGCTGTAGGGACAGAAACGGATTGTCAAAGTTAGTTGTTCCTATGTCATGACCTGAGAGTTTTGATGAGTCTACGAGAAATGGGTGGACGCTGGATCTAAGACAATTGTTCTATCATCATTGTTTGCCACGCATCTCATGTTACCCGACTGCCTCTAGAAAAGTATTTTCTCAACATACACAGCTCAACAAGCATGTCAGCATGTCCTTTACCCATGTTGACCTGATTTCGGGCCAAAGCAAACGAATATCGTGCTTCTACACAAAGCAAGTGTTTCTCAACCTATCATAGGAGGGAAACAAAACCAGATCCTCCCCGAGTCAAACATGCACACCCTCTGGTACCTCTATGTACTTCTGCTACCCGGGTACCCGGAATGTCTGGAAGCGTGTGATCTTTAGTGATGCATTCAACATTTACTGGAGAGGTGTTATACATTTATATAGGGGTATTCAGTGTATTTATATATAATTCTATATATATGTATATATTTGCGAGCCATAGCCATGTCAAAGGATTGATGCTCCATCCGGTGGAATCACTGAGTGCTTCCCAAGTAAAAAATCCGTCATAGACTTAAAGTGGTCTTGTTCATACACTAGTTGGTGGTTCCAACCGATTCCAACCCACCTGAAAAAAAAGTTAAACCAGAAAACTGTGTGCTGTACTGTGTGACACTTTGAGATGACAACACAATACAATTCAATAGCTTAATATTTTGTCTAAAAACAAAAACTAACCAACAAACAACAATAGACACCACCATACGCAACTCCACTGCATCTCGCACCGCACCGGCCTTGGCCTTGGGAAGACCTCGCAAGACGTGGAGTGCAAGGAATCTTGTTGTTCAAAAGGATTTGGGGCACGACGAAGGTGTGTGTGTGTTCTCCTTCAAAACAAAGCAAAAGTGGATATACTCCCTGGCACTAACATGGAAGTGGACAATGGCCGCTTGGAAGACCCTTTTCCTCTACAAACAGGGGGGTTCTACTTTCATGTTAGTTCCAGCGTGTAACTGGTCTACTTTTTCCTGAGATTCTCTGAGGCCCTTGAGATTCTTGAGGCTCAAAGGTGCAGGTGGGTCCAAAACCCTGATCTTGTCAGTCAGTATGTTATTGTTGGATACGATGTGAGGGATGCTATTATCGACCAAGGCTGGAACGTCTGAACTAACAAACCCGATGGGAATGATAGGAACAAATGACGACGTCCATGCCGAACCATTCTGATGTCATTTCGTCGACGTCTGAGCCGCCCGGGCCAGTCATCTCGCCGCTCCTCTGCAGTGTGATGCATCAATCAGGGGGCTGTTCGGCATCAATCAGGGGGTTCTCTGAAAGACGTGGAGGGTGAAAGCCGTGCTGAACCGTAGCGAATTGTGGGTGGCTGCTTCTAATGGAGATATACCAATAATACAAAATGTAGAATGTCTCTTCAAGCCGGACTGCAGGTGACCGCAGTGACATTTCAATGTAGGAAAGGGGCTCCCACACTGCTTACACTGACTCATTGGCAAAACGGAAGGACCGTCCGTCTGTCATTGCACATGGTCTCACTCATCCGAAGATTCAGACATAGTGTTACTACTAGTAAGGCACTTGTTACTACTAGCGTGGCACTTGTTACTACTAGTAAGGCACTTGTTACTACATCAAGTGATCTACTGATAAATCAGATAGTGAGACCATGTGCAATCAGTAGAATCGTAGAACAGAAGGATCATAAGGATCAGTGAACCACGTGACTGATCAAATCTGGTTCTACAGAAGAACGAACGAACCCAAAGAATTTCCACAGCTTTTGACAAACAACACAACCGCACGCAAAACTGTGTATGAGGAAACACAGAGCATAAGGAAACGTCTCCCCCTCGAGTGTCAGTGGCTGTGGGCGACAGGGGCTGTCGCTCAAACCTGCTCGACAGCGGTACCTTTCCTGATAGTGCTCGTACTGGTTGGTTTCAGCCTGCGACTGGTCTGGGTAGTTGAGTCTTTGTGTTTGTAAAGGCTACTCAGCAAAATCACACTTTGTAAGGTCTAATAAGCTGTAGTTGTACAGTTGTTAGTCCTGTACCCGTGCCGCAAGTCGCAAGTCCTACTGTACAGTAAACAGTTCCTGTATAGTCATATAAATCATATCTGAGATATGTAATCCGTCTACAAGTGGAATCGGTTCCTTTGCGAATCCAGTGAGGCATACACAAATCT